CCCCCCCCGGCCGGCGGCTGGGCGCTACTGGGGTCCAATGGCAACGATGTGCTATTATTATCGCGGTACCCTGATTGAAGCCTTGGGCAGGGTATGTCCGGGCTGGGTTGTGCGTGGACCGGTGCAGGTTTAGATTGTCGATCTGTGAATGAGTGTGCTATGCTGTGTGTTGAGACTGCAACTTCAAGACAGCTTGAAGCGGGTTGTAACACCAGGGACAATCAACAATGACAATAAGGATGTAGAGTAGTCACTGGCAGCATATATATTCCAACCACAACCACTAACTTAATTCACCAAATACTTGAGGAAGCCACTGGGTCAATTAATTTCCAGCTGCGATCAAAAAGTCTACATTAAGCCAAACTTTCATGCTCCATATTCTAGATTGCATCGCGCCTGTTTTGACTGAAAAGTACCATACAAGTAAAGACACAAGCGCCGGGACTGAACGTCCATCGGCGGGTAAGTTAGAGGATCTGATCTGACTGAGTGAGCGAGTGACTGACGGCTTATCCGCTCCGGACTGGAGCCAGCCCAGTCCAGCCCAGCCCATGCCATCTCCTCCGCCGCCCGCAGCAGCCCGCAGCGCAATTCCCCCTCCGACCTGACCTCAACCCGTTTGTACAGTACTGATGTACATAGTACAGCACACGACCCCTCAACCCACTACCAAGATACACAAATACCCTCCTGCAACAAATCATCCACCTTATCTACAGCCCACCGCCTTCAAGGACGATCACCCTTAACTCCTCCCTCGAACCACGCCACCTCCACCACACCACCATCACCAACAGAAACCCCTCTCCCCACAATCCACAGTACTGTACAACCTCAACCTCAAGCTCAAGTTCAACATCCAAACCACAGCACGGGAACAATGACAACCAACCCCCGCCCCTCCCCACCCACCACCCCAACCGATCTCGAAACCGACCTCCTCACGCACCTGCTCACCACCCCGGCCCTCGACGACCTCCACAGCACGCTCCTCGCCGCCCTGCAACGCACGGGGTGGACCGAGAAGATCCGGCGCCTAGCCCAAGAGCTACTCCGCGGGGGACGGTGCGAGCGGTTCGACGAGGTCATCGAAGCGGTGGTCGCCTCCGCCGAGGGGCGACGCCATCCGTCCCTCCTCGCCGCGCCCGGCAAGAAAAAAAACGGTGCTGCAACCATCAAAGACGAAGATGACGACGACGACGACGATGACGACGTCTACGCGAACGGGAAGAAAAGCGGCAACAACAACAACAGCAATGGCGGCAATGCAAACAACGCCGCGTATTTCGAGACGGTGGATGTGCGGATCCCCTGCGCGGTCGTCGAGCAGGGCGTGCGCGCGATCAAGGAGGTTCTGCGCGATGTAGCGGTGCTCGAGGGGGATGGGGATGGGGTCGGGGATTCTTCTTCGTCTGCGGCCGCCGGGGATGGCGGGGATGGCGGGGATAAGGAGAAGGAGAAGGAGAAGGAGCACACCACCACGACCACGAAGACGCCAGGGCCGAAGGATCGCGTGAAGGGGGTGAAGAATGGGGAGAGTAATGGGTCCGGGGCCAGCGGGAGTCCCGTCAAGAAAGGGGAGAAGAAGATGAAGCCGAAGCAGGGGAAATAAAGGGATCTGCGGGCTTTTCTTCTGTCTGTCTTATATTTTGATAAAAGGCGGGAGTTGGTGTTGGTGGACATTCGTCTGGCGTTTGGATGGGTTTCTGGATGGGGACTCCTCCCTCGGTGTTATCAGGGTCGGCATTGCATTTTCTAGATACCAAATTCTACTACTTCGTTCCACACCCAACGGAATCAATCATCGTAGCAACTTCTTGGCTATTAGATGGATCAGAACTATCTTAGCACCCAGAATAATAAGAAATGGCCACAAAAGTACTTGTCAACCAACGTGATTTAGTCGAGGCTCACCCCGCTGATCTAACTAAGTGCGCATAGGAAACAAAGCATGAAAAGATACAGTTTAGTCGTAGAGGCTGTCGTCATTGCCGGCTTCGCCAAAAGTGTTGTTGTCCGCCACCTCACCCGAGGAAGGGAAGCGGAAGAAGGTGCTGCCGCCAGAGTTCTTCAAGCTCTGCGCGAAAGCCTCGTAGCGGCGGATCTCCACATCGCTAACCGACTTTCTGGCCGACTTCATCGCCTCCTCGAAGTGGGCACGGGTCAGCTCCGGCACGGGGTCCTCCTCTTCAAGCTCCTCGTCCTCCATCTTGACGTCCTCACCCTGGGCCTCGCGCTGCTTCTGGCGGTCGATGTCGGCGCTGATCGACTGCTTGATGGCGAGCTTGACAGCACGCTGAGTAACGAAGCCAAGATCGGCACCGGAGAAGCCGTGGGTCTTGCTGGCGATGAAGGAGATGTCGACATCAGGAGCAACGGGCGTCTTGCGCAGCTGGGCCTTAAGAATGCTCTCACGGGAGGCCTGGTCGGGCAGGGGAACGTAGACCAGAGTATCCAGACGACCCGGACGGACCAGGGCAGCGTCCAGCTGCTCGGGTCTATTCGTAGCACCGATGACGAAGACGTTCTTCTTGGAGGTCATACCATCCATTTCTGGGACGAGTCAGTTAGGAACTATCGAAGCAAAGGCGAAATAACATACCGGTTAGGAGCTGGTTGACCACACGGTCGGAAGCACCACCAGCATCGCCGACGGATCCACCACGGGACTTGGCAATGGAATCCAACTCATCGAGGAAGACGACGCAAGGGGCGGCGGCACGAGCCTTGTCGAAGATGTCACGGATGTTGCTCTCCGACTCACCGAACCACATGCTCAGCAACTCAGGACCCTTGACGGAAATGAAGTTGGCAGCGCACTCGTTGGCCACGGCCTTGGCCAGCATGGTCTTACCAGTACCAGGGGGGCCGTAGAACAGCACACCGCGGGAAGGAGAAAGACCGAACTTCTGGAACTTCTCGGGGTGGTCGACAGGGTACTGGACGCTCTCGATAAGCTCGCGCTTGACCTCCTCGAGACCACCAATATCCTCCCAACGGACGTTGGGGACCTCGACGACGGCAACCTCGCGCAGAGCGGAGGGGTTGGAGACACCAAGGGCGTAACGGAAGTTCTCCATGGTAACACCAAGAGAGTCGAGGACCTCAGCGTCAATGGTATCCTCATCCAAGTCAATCAGGTCCATCTTCTCACGGATCTGCTGCATGGCGGCCTCAGAGCAGAGCGAGGCGAGATCGGAACCGACATAACCGTGGGTCTCAGCAGCGATCGTCTCCAAGTCGACATCATCACCCAGCTTCATGTTCTTGGTGTGGATCGACAGAATCTCGAGACGGCCGGTAGGGTCAGGGATGCCGATGTCGACCTCACGATCGAAACGACCGAAACGACGAAGGGCAGGGTCGATGGAGTTGGGGCGGTTGGTGGCGGCCATCACAACGACGTTCGAGCGGGCCTTCATACCGTCCATGAGGGTGAGGAGCTGGGAGACAACACGGCGCTCGACTTCTCCGTTGGTCTTCTCACGCTTGGGGGCAATGGAATCGATTTCATCGATGAAGATGATGGCGGGGGAGTTCTTCTCGGCCTCCTCGAAAGCCTTGCGCAGATTCGACTCGGACTCACCAGCCATCTTGGACATGATCTCGGGACCGTTGATCAGGAAGAAGAAGGCACCGGTCTCGTTGGCAACAGCACGAGCCATCAGAGTCTTACCAGTACCGGGAGGACCGTACATCAGGATACCACGAGGGGGCTTGATACCGATGGACTTGAAGAGCTGGGGGTGACGCAGGGGCAATTCGACCAGCTCGCGGATCTGAGCCATCTGCTTGCGGCAGCCACCAATGTCATCGTAACCGACCTCGTTGAGGTTGCCCTCCTCGTCTTCACGCTGGATGGGCTCGCCCTCGCAGTGGATGATCGTGTCCTGGGCCACAATACCGTACTCTGGGGGATCGACCTCAACAACCTTGAACTCCACCTGTCTCATACCTCCTCGTACTGTAAACAGATCTCCCTGTCGGACGGGTCTGTAGGCTTCGCGGAAGTAGGGGGCAAGGTAGACGTCGAAGAGGGAGCCGGTCAGGCCCTCAACGGTGTCGGCAATAGGAAGGACGGCAATACGCTTGGCCTAAAACACAAAGAAGCCGCGGTTAGCCACCAACCACCGTCTGCTCTCGTTGGGCTGGACTCACATATTTGATGTCGGGGCAAGGGTGGACGGTGATCATGTCGCCGTGCTTGACACGGAGGTTGTGTCTGACGACACGGTTGATGCGAGCGCTGCCGTCATCGAGATCATCATCCGCCAAGACAATCAGAACCGTGTCCTTGCGCTTCTTGCCCTTGACAAGGACGGTATCACCGCGGAAGAGCTGGAGGGTCTCCATCGTGTTGTTGGAAAGGGCAATAACGGAGTTGTCATCGTTGACGGCATCGGTAACACTATTGACACACACACACACGTCAGTATCCCAGCCCCCGCTCCACAGAACAAATGACACAGGCAAACTCACATCAGAGAGTTGGGCTTCTTCTTCTTCTTGAGGATAGCGGTCGAGGTGTCGAGCTCCTAGCAACGAAAAATAAGTCAATATCACCAACAAGGTCCCTGCGGAGTCTGAAGGCAAAGTCTTTACCTCTTTCTTCTCGGCGCCCGAGGGGTCACTATGATGTATTAGCATGCGGGGCAAGACTGGAAATCTTGATGGATGGGGACCTACTTGAGGTTGACCCTCTTCTTGTCGTGGGTGTGGTCTGGCTCTGCGCTCATCTTGATGGAGTGTGAAGAAAGGCGCGTAAAGCAACGTAGTCACTGGGAAAGGTAGCAAGGACTGTTGCCGTACCGGATTAGGCGAGCTCGGTAACAGGCACGGAGGAAAGTGAAGATAAGGAAAGGAAGAAAGAGAAAGAGATCTCAGCAGACAGCAGGAAATGTCTGAGAGATGGCGCAATTTGGGGGGAGAGATGCAAAAGTGATAGAGCAGAATAGGTGGGTGAGTTTGGTGGGTGGAGAGAGGGAGATGGGGGAAGTGAGATTGAGTTGTAGGTTGGCAGAAGAGCTCCGGGTTGTTAAGAGGTGACGATAGCGCCAGGGCCTGTTCGGAAACTGATGACTTAAGCTGTTTGCAGAGATTCCTGAATCCTGAGCCACCCAAACACCCACCGCCTACCGCCTGCCGCCACCGCCTCGGGGGGAGAAGAACCGCATGGAAGCCGGTCGTATCCACAATGATCATCAGCCTCTGGCCCTTCTTTGCTTTGAGTGCTTGATAAGCCCGGGGAAGCTCTTCGAACTAACGATCTGATGACTGGCTAGTGTTTGAAGCGGTCGATCTGGTCTTTTCTGCTGGCTTTGACATTCAGAGGTGCCAATGGGGCTGCTGTGTTGATGCCTCAGGCATTATGGGCGATCTATCACATCAAGATGGCCTCTGTTCAACCAGCTTAACAAGCTGATACTCATCCAGTGGCAAAGTAAGGGCAGTTCGCCTCACTGAACTCTTGTTCTGGATCTTCGTCATGTTGTTCTCTCAGTTGCCCGAGGATATCATGTCGAATCATTCAGAGTTCACAGCAACTCTAACAATACCTCTACTCTCAGTAAGTTAGCAAAAGAACAAGACATGAAGCGAATCAATCACAGAAAAGAACAGGATCATAGCTAACAAACTCACTAGCCCTGCTTGACACTGCGGCCTTATGGCTGTTTTACCAGTTCAGTGTGTGCTAAAGTCACGTGGTCTGGTGAATGTACCAGCCCAGCGCCCCAGTATAGCATCAAGGAAGACTTCACCAGCGCACGCACGCAGTGAGAGCGCTGCCTACAGCCATGCGAGTCAACCTCACACTCGCCGACTAAGCGACGACATCATAGCTCCTCATGGTGTCGCATTCGGTAACACGATGGCACCCCATCCTCCAACTTCACATCCTCACCTTCCTTCTCCCCACCGACTATCCCCAGTACCTTTGTATCTCTATCCCTCTATTTGAAAACCTGTATTTGTGCGCGAAAGACCCAAGATGAGCAGCCATCCTGTCGCCATCAACCGCCGCCCTAGCATCATCCGCAATATGGAGTGCTTCCATTGGTACCCCGACAATTACAAGGTCGCGTATCAGAACCAGCTCAACATGACCCAGCTGCACCAGCTCCTGGCGGACGAGGATCAGCGCGTCATCTTCGTCTACGGCTGTCTCAAGCTTCCCACCGTCCTGCGCGCCTATTGTGACCAACCGGACAGTCTGCAGTTTGCCCGTAGGATGCAGCCAGCCCGGGCGGTGGGGTACAGGCTGTACGAGCGGACTCCCAACGGCGCCCCGTTCATGGTGTTCACCGGACAGGAGCACGATGTTGTCGAAGGCATGGTCGTCTTCGCGATTGACCACGAGGATGCCATCACCATGATGCACGGTGAGAGCGGCGGGATGGACGCTTGTCTGATCGAAATCGAGGCGGTCATCGTTGAGGACGGCTCCTGCCTGGCCGATCGCTGGGTCGAGGTGACCTACGCTCTGAAGGTGCACGCCCTGGTCTGGAACCGCAGTCTGGAGGGGATGCACTGGAAGGGGGTCACCGATTGGGCCGTCGACCTGTTTCTGCGCTCCGAGCATTATGACAAGTTCGTAAGTCTGTCGCTGACTTCCCTTTGGTGCGATATCCTCTAATATCAGATGGCCACAGAGACGTCCCGGCGAGCTCGTGTCGGAGGAAACCATCGACCCGGTGTTCCGCCTCTAAGCTCCAACTCTCGGCTCTAGCTTTTGAATGTCGCTGGATCAGGTACAACTTCATTGGATGCGTGCATGACTACTGGTTTAAGATCTGACTGCTTTCCCGTCATCGGTCTGCGACCTTTCTTCGAGACAACTTCCACATATCCTATCTGACATTTCTACCTCCGGGTCTGCGACCTATTCCTTATCCACATTGCCACGGGTTGACTCTGCATGGCGTTTGATACTCATTTACGCTACGATGCGATACGATACGATGACGATTTGATGCTCATTCACGATGTGATGACGCTTACGATGATGATAACGACATTGGCACGATCTGATGACTGCTGATTCTTAGCGACACCTGATTTTTATCTATCACATGACGTGACGGGGCATCTTGGGAGTTTTCAGGGTGTCTCAGTTTGCTTGCGCTTCTTTCCTTTGTTTCTTGATCTATCCGCCTTCGAGGCCACAACGACCGAGCATCTAGCTCTAGCTGAAAATTGGGTTTGGTATTTGGTGTGTTAGCTTGGATCCTATCCTGTATTTAGGCATCTAGCATGACAACCCCAATGAAGACGCTTATCCAGGAACTCTATCGTCTAAGCCAAGCCATCGCGAAGCGAGCAAAGAAAAGTAGCCTGAGGTAACCCAATCTGGAAGTCTAACCAACCATCGAGAATTCTACAAAGCCCAAATACCTCAACTCAACCTCAACCTCAACCCCAAACCTACGTAGTAGTCCGCCCCCACGAATCCCAGACCTCCCACGCCCCGGCCATAAAACTCACCAACCCGGTCAACTGCTCCGGGAACCCGATCCCCCCCTCAAAGCACCAATGCAAGCACAGCGGCGCCCAGCACACATTATTCACGAGACTCTTCCTCCACGCGCGGATCTCCCGGGCGTCTTCTGCTTCCGCCGACCCCTCCTTCCGCCCCTCCTGATTCTGTCGATTTCGCCGCAACCGCAGACTCCTCTCCCGCGCCAGCACGAAGAACTGCAAGAAGATATGCCCGAACCAGGCGCGCGTGCTCCACAGATCCCACTGCACGATGCCGCCCCACCGGTCGATGAGCCGGCGGCTGAGGATCCCCTTCGCGGCCAGGTAGCTTCCGTTCTCGAGGAGCTGGTAGATCACATTGACCAGGACCTGGAGGAGGGTGAGGATGTACAGCGTGCGGTCTTGGGGCGGGGAGCGCAGGGTCGCGGCGCCCCAGGTCCAGAGCGGGAGGAGGCCGAGGAGGCGCAGGGTGTACCGGGTTTCGGACATGAGGGAGGAGAGGGCGAGGAGGGGGGGTTTGTTTGGTGTGCTTGGTGAGGTGGTGGGTGGTGGCGGCGCGGAGGGGGTAGGCTTGGAGGGGGAGTGTTGGGCGAGATGGCGCTGCTGACGACGGAGACGCGCGAGGAGGCTTAGGCGGGTTTGGAAGGCGAGCCAGGGCGCCGAGGCGAGGAGGTGGTGCAGGGCGTGCGAGAGGTAGCCTGTTACGGCGAGGACGCGTTCGGTGCCTGCTGCTGTGGTGGTGAGTCTGTCGTTGTTAGTATGGAGTGTACGGTTGGTGGAGCGGTGGCTTGTGTTCTGGGAAGGATGGGAGAGGGCGGGGGCCTACTTGTCGAGTCGCTCGATGGTGGTATCGGTTGCCCGAAGGGCTGCCAGCAGCTGACGACGAGCATGGAGGAGAGAGGAAGCTGATTGTGCTTTTGGTTTTGGTGGTGGTGGTGAGGATCCCCGCGTTGGGTCTGAGGACGGCGGTTTCCCCTCATCTTCTTGTGGTGGTGGTGGTGGTGGTGGTGGTGATGGTGCGCTCTCACTTGGAGCTGGTTCAGTGGTAACTTCGGGGTCTGCCATATTGTCTGGTGTATCCTGCGGCAGTCATCGCCAGCAGACCTCCAGGAAGGTAGGACGGAAGGGGGGTGGACTGGAAGAGTACTATATAGACCAGGCGGTCATCTGCATCTGATCAGCCGTCGGTGCTTGGCGCGCGTGCCGAGGTTCGGAATTGGCTCGGAATGGGAAAGTCGATGGAGTTTGGAGTTGAACCGCGGGTCATTTTTGTTGATGAGATTAGATAACTATCCTGCCTGCCCCATTCAGTCGGTCATCGGATGGGGATGGACCTTACCAGATAATGGGTGGAATGGGTGGGTTTAGCGCCGCTGTTCGGTTTACGTAGTTCGCTAATTGATACACTAACTAAATTACTGTTGACCTTCCCTTGACTTCATGATTACCTCTGGCGACAACACCTGCGGCAAATTTCATTCAATGCTCACTAAATCTTCCGTAGATTTTCAAGTACTCTTACAGCACAACATGTGAAATGTTACCCCGACCACACAACCTCCCCACTTCAACTCCTAGCTCAACGTCCCAGCACCAACATGACAAACCAATTCAGCGACCACGGCACATTAGTGGAGACAGAAGCCTTATAGTTCACCCCAAGAAGAGGCCACTTCAAGCCCTCTTCCCCCGTCACAATATCAAGATTGGGTCAACCAAATCCGACTCGTCCGAGCCAACTGAGTCCTCCGAGTCACTCGTCCCTTCGTAGCACTCATCGCCCCTTTCAACGCGCTCCAATTTCCCTTTGCCCTTATCTTTACTTGCTTCTCCCTCAGTTTCCACCTCCTCGCTAGCCTCCACCTCAGTTTCCACCTCCTCGCTGACCTCCTCCTCCTCCTCCTCCTCTTCCTCACTACTATCCCCATCCTCACTATGAGACTCCTCTTCCCAAGGCTCCACCTCTTCAATAACCGGCATGACATCCTCCCAGACATGGAGACCCGAATTAATACAGCGCTCGCGACCCACCATCTGCCCAAACCGGAACACCTCGCGCTCCTCTCGCACCTCTTCCGGGTCCGCAGCCATGAGGTATCCGGGAGCCATGGGGAAGGGACAGGGGCCGCGCGGCCCACGAGGGCAGGGCGGCTGTTCCACCTGTCTGCGACGCCGCCAAAGGAACTCGCCATATCTCCTCTTCCGCAGTGTCGCGCGCAAGTGATTCCCGATATTGATCCAGACGGAGGAAGCTTCAGCACTGTAATCCCTCGGCGAGGGCGTCAGGCTGCGTCCGAGGGGTTCGAGGATGGCCTGTAGCCTGGCGCGCGCTCGCTGCAGCCGGTTAACCGGGGGTGGATAGTAGCTTGCGTTGGCGGGGTGGGAGGAGAGGGGTTCGTGGAACTGGCGGGGGGTTGCTGTTGCTGTCACTGGGTAGGAGGGTAATCCGGTTGTGGATGAGGATAATGCTTGGCTTGTTGGAGGTGGAGGGTGGGGCAGATGGTGTGGGGACTGCGATGCACTGTTGTGTCGGGCGACGGGGTAGGTGGGTAGCACTGATGGAGATCGGTTGCTGGAATCTCCTGTGGATGAGGAGGTGTAGGAAGACTGGGAGCCAGAGCTGGTAGCATCACTGGTCGATGTCGACATGTACGACGGTAGATCCACTGTCGACCTGGACGCAGGGCTTGTCACTCTCGAGGCAGAAGAGGAACCCTGAGAAGTAGACTCGGTGGCTGCGTTTGGGAGATAAGACGATAAGCGTGCTACGCCACGATAGCTCGACACGGTATGTTGTGCGGGCTGCGACTCGCCTCCATAGTATCGGGGCACCGGAGGAGGAGTGGGGGATGGGTTGGGTCGCTGCCCTAAATTGGAGACGAACACTGCGTTCACGACCACCCGCTCGCCCAAGTTGAAGGCACTCGGGGCTGGGAATTTGGGTCTACACACTGCGTCGATGCTGTCCCATGCTCGTTCCATGTGTGCTGGTACGCAGCGATGACAAGCCCGCCATTTGCAATGTGGGATAGACTGTAGTGGGGGAGCTGAGGTGTCAGAGTCTGCGACTGGAAGCACGCCTTGAGTAATAGAGTCTGGACTGCGACAGGCATTCTGCTGAATATCCTCGCCATGCTTCACTCGCCCGGTAGTGGGTGAAGCATCGGTAGCGATCGAGCTACGGCTCTGCTGAACATCTTCAATCAGCTGAACATGGGGGCCATCGTCATCGGAGTCAGTATTCTGCTCCTCCTCCGCTCTGTGCATGGAAGGGAAGACGGTGACCCTCGAATAGCGTTCGTTGTAGGCAACTATCTCTTCGTACGCCCGACGAAAGACAGTGAGTTTCTGTTCGAGCAGTGTTCCCTTCTGCGCATCTGTGTACTTCCCAGCCTTAATGGCGTCGACCATCCACGAACTTAGCACCTCACCGTCTCTGGTACCATTTGGGTCCCCGAAACCGGGCTCGTCCACGGAGCACTGATACAGCCAGCCGAGCGCCGGTCTACGGCCGCAGCGGTCACACACTTCGTTTGGATCGACGAGGGGCACCCGGTCTATTTTCCCATGTTTACACGAGCGGAGCCCCCACGGACGATCGTCTTCCACTGCCTGGTTCACTGGCCCATAGAAGATCGGGTCTCGGTCCCGGTCGATACGAGCGAGGAGTACTCTTGCGATCGCCGTTCGATTGACGCCGTTAGCTCGATTGTGGCTACCTGGGGTAGATGGCGGCTCGGCCCTCGCGGTGCTGTTGTTTGCCGGGCCGGGCGAAAGGACCGAATCTCGTTCGAACAACGGCTCTGTTATTCCTCTGATAGAGCTGGATGGACTGTTAGTCTGGATGTAGGCACTGGTTGTGGAGGGTAGAGGGTTGGCTTGGGCGGGACAATACCTCGAAGACGAAGAGCGAGGACAGCTTGTGACACGCTCTGCAAAGTGCAAACTTGTCTCGAAATCACGGCCAGTCCATGGTCTCTGACTCTGGAGAGGGTCGGTCTCCTCAAGCTCTGAAGGCTCAGACGCGGGGGCATGATTGTGCTCGGTTGCGCCGGCTGGTTCCTGTTGCTCGGGGCCATGCTCCATGGCTCTCTCAGCAGTACCCACGCGGTTGTTCTCGACAGATGCAGCTTCTACAGAGACATGGAGCTCAGACTCTTGGTCATGAGGAGTATCTGCGGGATGAGATGGATCATGGTCAGATAGTGTTGCCGGGATCTCCGCTGAGGTGTCGATGTTGGACGAGGAGTCCGGCTCTGTGTTGGACTTGCTTGCAGAAAGTTTTTTCATTTCTTCTGCATGAGAACAGTGCTGGAGGCTTTGGAAGATGGAGAAGACGTGTGAACCGCCTCTAGCGGACTGGATAGCTAACTGAGATGTATCTATTCCGTGATCTGAGAACGCTAGATAGCAAAGGACAAGAAGCATGGACGTATGAACACGGAGGGGACAGAGGAAGCAGAGAACAGCAGAAAATGAGATAGCTAGCTAGAACACGCTCACGTTCACCAGTGAACGTAACATTGCGTCGGGGCAGATGGGAATCGTCGGGGGCGACCCTCTGTTTTGTTGGGATGTGCATAATGTCGCTCTGGCTGACCTGAGCGCAAAGGAGAAAGCGCAAACACCAAGACGAGCGCAGTCTGAGCAGAAGCTCACATGGTTGCGGATAGCCCTACTTCTCCGATGGATGAAATCACAGCAGTGCAGTAGTAGACTATACTTGGCCAATGCACTAGCTATCGATCTTGAGATACAAAGAAATTGTACTGAATTCTTCTTCTAGAAACTCTTTGGCATCGGACTTAGTTACATTTACCTACATGTCTGTTAGTACATGAGCCTGGATTTCTTGAAAGAAGGGGATGAAGTACAGATATAGTATCTAGAAGCAGAACAGCCCTGCCTGGTGGTGGTTATCACCCTCAGTCAACATCAACGGCCTGCACTTATCCGAAATAGGCTGAGTTTTCCGAGCTCATCCTGGTATTACTGCACCTGAGTGTTCTGACGAGGACGGTGCAAGATTTTACCAGTCATTGTTAGCTGCAACAAATTGCGAATGAACAAAACATCTTAACATCTTGACTGTTTACATAGATGAAGATACAGAAGGAAAATTAGTAGTGGTGATGGCGGAGTAACTACGGTAGTTGTTATGTACGTAGTCGGAGGTGACCGAAGGACAGCGGCGGAATCCCTACCGAGCTGAGCTGATCTTACCGTACTGTACGGAGGCCTTACCTACTCAAACAGGTATAAAGTTGACGCGAGGTCCATTTGTTCTGTAACTTCTGTTCCATTTGCCGACCTCGTGGCCGGTTTGACCTTCCCAGTTTCCCACTGACTGCCACTGACTGTCTCTCTCCTCCTCCGACGTCGCCCTCACCTTCGCGCTCACCCTCCAGCTTCAAACTGAATTGTTATTTGTTGTCGTTCTGCTTCTTTCCCTTCAGAATCTTCCAAGTTGGGTCTACTTCCACTTCTACTACTACTACATTTTCCCCGCGGGTGTTTCCATTGTGACAGTACAAGCAATTGACTGACGTGTGCTGGTTCCAATCGATTGGAGTTGTAACCTCGGTAAGCACTGATTTATTACCAGCCTTGAACCAACCCATTGGCTTCCAGCCTCTCCTCATCGCGGGCCATTTCCCTCTTCCTCCTCCTCCACTTCAGCCGATAAACAAACCAACCCCTGGTCCGACCCTCTCTTGCGCGGGACGCCCATCCGACCATTTGCCTGCCAATTTCCCTCCCCCCCCCCCCCCAGTCTGTCCCCCAACAATACCCACTCACTCACCACACCTTATTCCATCCGCATCCCTCCGTTGCTTCTACTGTCCATTGCAACCCTGAATGGTTTTCTCTTACTTACAGCTCCTGCGATCACCTTAGACTGCCTTACTGCTCTGCTATCTCTCCGCAATTGCCGTCACCATCGTTATCTCGGATCTCCGATCGCTCATCTACCCACACCATCTAGATCGCGCGCTTAATCTCCTTCCTTCGATCCATCAGCAGCAGCAGCAGCAGCCATGTCCGCCAAATTCCAAGATGAGGCCGTCACCTCCCTCCGGAAAGACACAAAAGAATTGGTGCACAAAGTCGGTGAGCGACTGACTGGCGGGGGTTATCTCAACGTACGTTGGTCTCTGGTGTTGACGTTTGAAACCCTCCCGGACAACTCTGGCTGACTGGCTCTTCTCGGCCGACTCTAGCTCTACCTCCGCCAACTGCAGCAAAACCCCCTGCGCACCAAGATGTTGACGTCGGGAGTGCTGTCCGGTCTGCAGGAGATCCTGGCGTCCTGGATCGCGCACGATGTCAGCAAGAACGGCCACTACCTCAGCCCGCGGGTGCCCAAGATGGTCCTGTACGGCATGTTCATTAGCGCCCCGCTGGGCCACTTCCTGATCGGGATCCTCCAAAAGGTGTTCGCTGGACGGACTAGCCTGAAGGCCAAGGTGCTGCAGATCTTGGCCAGCAACCTGCTCGTAAGTGTCGCACGCGATGCACGAGGGATTCCAATCCGCTGACTCGGCCCGCAGGTCTCCCCCATCCAGAACGCCGTGTACCTGACCAGCATGGCGGTCATTGCCGGTGCGCGCACCATCCACCAGGTCCGCGCCACCGTCCGGGCGGGCTTCATGCCCGTCATGAAGGTCAGCTGGGTGACCTCGCCCATCGCGCTGGCCTTTGCGCAGAAGTTCCTGCCGGAGCACACCTGGGTGCCGTTCTTCAACATTGTCGGGTTCGTCATCGGAACCTACGTCAACACCCACACGAAGAAGAAGCGCCTCGAAGCGCTCCGGAAGGTGAGCCTCCTGTTGTTCCGTAGGTGGAACAGTGCTAATCCCATACCAGCGTTACGACCAGCGTCGTGGTCCCGGCAGCGAGTACGACAAGGGCGACTACCGGTAAATACTATACATATGAAAATCCAACCTCCATGACCATCGCTGGTCGATTGAGGGTAATGCGGCAAATATACCCATGACGACCACCTCCTCTTTGACCTATGCCATCTACATATGCCATCTACCAATACCACCCACTCCATGCCCCCGCCCCGAATGATGTTTAATCTGCGATATGTCCCGTTCATGGCTCTGGCGTTGCGACGAGTGTCTATCCTGCTATGATGAAACCATATTTACGTAGTATATCGCCATTCGAACCGCAAATGGAAATCCATACCTTAAGCCCCTTTGACTCCGTTAAGCTGCGCTTAGTCTCCCTCGTGGCAGTAATCACCCCGAGTCAACCAACTACATCCTACAACTCTCCACCTGAAAACACGATAGAGAATCCATTCATCAACACCACTGCATGCGTATCTACCCTCCAACCACAGCCAACCACCCCGCAACCCAACCTTCCATCCCCTCTACCACCCCGCCACAAATAAACCTACTCAACCTCCATCTCACCACCCGCACCGCCACCCTTCCTCTTCCCCACCACAAACTCCACAAACTCATCAATTACCCCGGGCCACGCCCCATCCGCACTCCACCACCCCATCGCCTCATCCTCGCCCGTCTTGCGCATGAACACCTCCACCTGCTCCCACAGATCCTTATTGACGGGCCGCGGCCCGCGCCCCTCCAGGAACTCGAGCCACCAGTCCAGCCACGGCGTCGTCGCCGAGCCCCACGCCACGCCGCCGTGCTCCGCCGTGAAGAACAGCCGCCACTGCTCCGCCGCGATCTCGAACTGCAGGTTGCGCTGGCCCTGCATCCGGCACAGCGGGAACGTGTACCGGTACACCCGGCGGAAGAGGTCCGGTTCGATGGGCAGGCGCGCGCGGAGCTCCGCCGCGTGCGCTGTCATTTTGGCGAGGGTGTCGGCTCTATCCCTCTTCAGTATCGGGGGTTTTTTCTTAAGGGGGGAGGAACTCGGGGAAGGGGGTGGGGGAACAGGGGAACTAGGGGATTGGGGAAAAAGGTACAAGGAAGGGGGTAGGGGCAAAGGGTAGGGGGCGTACCCGAGAGCGCGCCAACCATGCAGAAACCCTTCTCGCGTGAATTCGCCCATCGTCGGGGATTTGACGAGCTCCGCGATGGCGAGGCAGGTTACTTCGTCGAGTTGCACGGAGATGTCGCCTAGGAACCGCATTACGCCGTCGATGCCGATGATCTCGGGGGATTCTTCGGGGGAGTCTGGTGGGTTTTAGTTGGGGTGGGATGGGGAGTTTTGGGCATTGGGGGGAAGTACCGCTGTAGCTGTCGAAGATCTTGTTGATCGCGCTTGTGCTGGCTCCGGCGCCGGAGGGGCTTTGGAAGTATCTGTGGTTTTGGGGGTGGTTAGTGCGGTTGAGGTGATGGGATGGTCTATGGGTTGAGATGGCAGGGTGGTCTATGAGAGGGGTTGGAGAGGGTTTCCTGTGGTTGCTGGGCTGGCGGTTGACTTGTGGTCTTGCGGTGATATCGGGCTCGCAGCTTGGCCAGATGGTAGATGGGCGATGTCGTTGCAGCGACGGTGCCAATCCATGATTGACTTGCTTAAAGACCAATCGCTTTCTTAGTGAAGTGCAAGCAATGGAGACTTAGCTATCCATCTGAAGAGAGATATTGCTCTGAACCAGATTGCATGGCCGCCTGGCTGCTGACTTGCGCTTGGCAGTTGATCGATGGACCCGTGGCGAGCTGCCGAGCTCCCAATGCCGTAACCACCAAGTCCCGCGAGCTGGTCCGCCTGGCACAAAGTCCATGTACCACAAGACATCCTGGCTCCGAGAGAAACACCCAAGAACAAAGCACCGGCCTAGCAACCCATGAAACCGCAACCGCAACCCAGGCAGGATGGACCCGGGTCATCAGATGATAATACCCACAAAAAGACATCCCCAAAGTGAGAGTAGGACCGTATCCCATGAACGAGAAGAAGGCAAGCACCTACGTATTGATAGCTTCTTCAAGATCCCATCGTGCCGCTTTCAAGAACTATACCAATCAACAGCACCGGTTAGCCACATATCCCACGCACGTGATGCCCCCGGAGCCATGAACCGGATAGGACAGGAGCGAAACATGATCGGAGAGATCGGTCGAAATTACCTTGGCAGCCGCTGTGTCCTTTGCTTGCGTGAAGCTGATGAACTGTGCTATTTGTTGCTTCTGCAGACTCGAGTAGGGCGGCATGATGATGGATGATGATGGTGGTGGTGGTGGGGGTGTGGCTTGCCCGGATCAAATGTTGACGATGGTGGGGGAACCTCTGCGCGCGCGCGGAAAAGCTCAGATGATCAGAATGAAGGCCGTGCAAGTCTGAGATTGTGTTATGTGTATAGCAAGATTGGAAGCTATCGGGGCGAAGGGATGAACGCCAAAGTTGAGACTGCGAACGCCTCCGGCTGGTTGTCGCAGTTCTTGATTTGTTTCTCGATGAGGGGGGGAGATCGGCCGAATTGAGCGGTGGTTTCCGCTGCAGTGCCCGCTGAGAGAGTGAGAGAGTTCAGTTGCCCGTGGCCCCGTGCACGTGCCCCGCATCGGATGCTGCTGGTTCGGATATCGGATCTCTCTCAGTGAAGTGGTCGATCAGGGCTGCCATGGCTACTATAGTCTAGTCATTCACTGAATTCACATTTAGAAAGCGGGGGTATGACTGGACTCATTCACACTGTACTACATGTCCACGGTTTCACACCTTTCTGCATATCAGAGATGAAAAACTACTCCGGTCCAGAGCTCCAATAGTGCAATGCAGCACTAATCTACTTCTGAACACCAGGATTATAGACAGTACCAAATGATGCCAATAATGATATTATCTCATGCGTCAGACATAGTACAAGGCTAGACACCAGGATAAAGACTTTTCTAGACAGAACAACCATAGCCACACAATGAAAAAAACGACTCCAAAACTCCTGCGAGAATCCCAAGGTATCTATAAAAAATAACCCCATGATCGATTCCGCGTATGCAACACTTTTCTCTAGGTCGTGAAAAGAGTATCTTCCTGTGCAATGGGTCAGCACTCTGCCCGTCTCGATTTCCAAAAAGCAAGCTCACCTCTCTCAGATACTCTCCGCAATCTGCCTGGCGGAAGACGACAATCGCCGTGGGCTCGAGTTTCCGTGCCTCGGCAGTGGACCGAGCAGTGACTCCGAATCCCTACAATCAATAAGTCAGCGACCATTGCGGCCAGAGCTGGACGCGCGACGAGAGCATCCTTACCAAAGGTGTATCATTCTGGTCGAGCACAACCACTCCAGCATGCTCCGGGCAGTCATCGGACCATCTTCCGACGTGCGCCTTGACAACGTTGCCCTGGCGAGTAATTAGCATCAGTTCGCCATCACCCTGTACCCCAGCTGCAAAGCCGCGCGTCAACACCCTAAGAAAACTTACTCCGTACAAGAACGGGGCGACACCGTTCGGCTTGATCCAGACCTTGAACCGCGCGTGGGGGGAGATCACGTCCAGCGCAGTGATGTGGAGCTACACAACGTCAGTTAATCCGAACCACATGGCCCGCCCTCACAACCGGTGTGCCCTTACTCTCATCTTTCCGGTCTTGGTAAGCTTTCCGATCGCAGTACCCATCGACAGCAAGCAATCGCGAGGAATGGAGGTCGCCAGGTTGGCCAAGGACAGCGGGACGTAGTAGATGCGGCTGCCGATCATGCGGAACACATAGCGGTCGTTGTCTTCGGAACCGGCCGTGATCAGATTCGAGATGGATCGTCCACAGTAGGCACTGAGCTTCTCAAAGAGCGTCTTCGTCTCCTCTAGAGTCTCCGAGTCAGCAAGCCGGTGCGGTGATGGTCTGCAGCGATTGCGCTGTCTGCAGCAGATGAGTCCCAAGGCAAGACTAACCTTCAGTAAGTTGACGCATGGTGAAATGTGATCTAAGTACGACACGGCGTACTCAAAGAGAAGAAGGAAAAGATATACACGGACGAAATTCGAATCGAAAAATGCTTGGAGGGGGTTTATCAAAAAAAGAGCAATCTTGAAGTCAAAAAAGCTCCGCGGAAACAAAAATTCTAGGCGGTGGATCCCGACGGGGAAGGCGGTGGGAGTGACGGTACTGTACCTTTTTCATTGCCCGTGTCTTGGCACCAGCAAGAGAGAAAAAAAGTTTCGGACAGTCCAATCCCGCAAAAAGCTTCTCCCCTCAAAAGGTAGAAGACCATTCACCAACATCAAAATGGCGCCTGGACGCACGACGAAGCGCAGACGGGTGAGTCCCCCGGGCGATGATGAACCTGCATCCTCGCAACCTTCTGGCGCCCCTATTGGCGACTTCTACAGCCATGCCGCCGAATGGGACCTCGAACAAGACTATGAGCGCCGACCCCGCAAATCCGGCAAGAAGGACAAGGAGCGCACACGACTGCCCATCAAGACGGCGGAGGGTTTCCAGACCATGGAGGAGCCTGAGATTGAAGCGGAGGAGTCAGACAGCTTTCTCGGGACAGACGACGATGAGGACGAGGAGATGGACGATAATGCCGCAGACGAAGACGAGGACGAGGCGGAGGAAGTGAAGGAAGAAGCGCCGAAGATCCCTCTGAAGGTGCAGATCATCCAAGCGAAGGAAGAGCTTGCCAGACTGGCTACATTAATCAATGAAGATCCGGAGGAGCACATCCCGTTGTTCAAGACGATGGCTGAGATGGTGGACCCCAGCAAGCACGTTGCGATCCAGAAGCTCGCCCTCGCCTCGCAAGCCGCAGTATACAAGGATGTCATCCCCGGGTACCGCATCCGCCCTCTCACCGACCAGGACATGACCGGCAAGATCTCCAAGGAAGTGCGCAAACTCCGCAGCTACGAGCAGTCCCTCCTCTCCAACTACAAGCACTATATCGGAAAGCTGGTCGAAATCACCAAGCCGCAAAAGCGAGACGCCGCCCCCGTCGATGCGGGCTTGAAGACGATCGCCATCAACTGCGCGTGCAACCTGCTGCTTTCCGTACCGCACTTCAACTTCCGCACCGAGTTGCTGAAGATCCTCATCAATCGGCTGGCCCGGAGACAGGTCGACGCGGATTTCGTCAAGTGCCGCGAAACCCTGGAAGACGTGTTTCAGAAGGACGAGGATGGAGTCGTATCGCTGGAAGCCGTCCGCTTGCTCTCCAAGCTGATGAAGGCGAAGGAGTTCCGCGTCCACGAAAGTGTGTTGGACACCTTCCTCAGCCTGCGACTGCTCTCGGAATTCGCGCACAAGGCCTCCCGGGACCGGATCGAGCGCGAGCCCGAAGAGGAGAACTTCGGGGGCAAGAAGCCCAAGCAAAAACGGGAGTTCCGCACCAAGAAGGAGCGCAAGGTGCAGAAGGAACGGAAGGCGGTCGAGAAGGATATGAAGGAGGCGGACGCGCTGGTGTCGCATGAGGAGCGGGACAAGAACCAAGCCGAGACCCTCAAGCTGGTCTTTGGCGTCTACTTCCGCATCCTGAAGTTGCGCATCCCCACCCTCATGGGCCCCGTCCTCGAGGGTCTGGCCAAATACGCCCACCTGATCAACCAGGACTTCTTCGGTGATCTGCTGGAGGCGCTGAAGGAGCTGATCGCGCACGCCGATCGCGACGAGGAAGAGAACCACACCGAGGAAGCCGACGACGACAACGATGCGCAGCCGACCAGCACGCGGGACGCGCACCGCGAAGCTTTGTTGTGCACGGTCACGGCGTTCGCGCTCCTGGAAGGGCAGGACGCCAGCAAAGCGGCGGCCAACCTCCACCTGGACCTGAGCTACTTCGTCAAGCACCTCTACCGCTCCCTGTACACGCTCTCCATCAACCCGGACGTCGAATACAACCCGGACAAGTCGCTGCGCCTGCCGGACCCGGACTCGCACGCGGCCCACCAGCACGCGCCGCGATCCCGCAAGAAGGTCAACTTCCAGACCCCGACCGTCCTCCTCCTCCGCTGCCTCCACTCGACCCTCATCTCGCGGGCCCATGGCAACCCGCCGCCCGTCCGCCTCGGCGGGTTCGCCAAGCGCCTCATGACCTCCTCGCTGCAGCTGCCGGAGAAGTCGGCGATCGCCACGCTCTCGCTCATGAACCAGGTCGCGCGGCACAACGCCCGCCGCATCGCCTCGCTCTGGCACAGCGAGGAGCGTCGAGGGGACGGCGTCTTCAACCCGTTCGCCGCGGACATCGAGACCACCAACGTCTTCGCGGGCACGGTCTGGGAGGGCGAGCTGCTGCGAAACCACTACTGTCCCCAGATCCGGGATGCGGCGTTGGACATCGAGAAGATGATTGTGACAAGGAATTGAGGGCGTTGGCTTCCTGTGTGTTATCTGTTTTCTCCAGCGAGGTGTACAAAAATACCAGTTTTGATCGTTCAACGGGTGGCCCCTTCTGTAAATGTTCATACTACTATCCCAAGAGGACGTCTGTAGTGCACACTACTTCCTCAACCGAAACCTGGAGAAGAATTGACTCGAAATCATTTTCATTTTAATTTATATGAAGCGATAACAAAGCTTCCAATCATCCCCGTAAATACAAGAAAAAGGAAAAATAGCACCAAACACGTGCATTCCTCCCAACCCCAACCCAACCATCCAACCCTTTCCATAGTGCAACGAACGCCATGCTCAATCTCCCAATCCACCTCTCATCATCTCATCACTCATAATTCATTTTCGCGTCATCGTTAATTCATGCAACCCATAAAAGAACAAACCTGAACCAACAAAAGAAAAACACAAAAGGGGTTTTCTTTTTTCAACTTTTTTTTTTGCTTTTGTGTTTTTTGTTTTTCTTTTTTCAATTTTTTGGTTAAAGTGAAGTCAGTCACCCTGACCTCTCCATCTCGATAACAAGTCAGCCAAGAACCAACCCACACCAAGACACGTCAGGGACATACACACCTTCCTCAAACAAGCTCATCCTCCTCCGGCACGTAGATGGACGCATCCCGGTGGCGGGTGCCGCGGTTGTACTGCACGGCCGGGGCATCGGGGGTGGCGGGGAGCTTGTCGTGGTACGCCTTGAGGTACTCGGGCAGATCGGCGGGGGGCGCGACGAGCGAGTCCACGCGCTTGGGCGGCGCCGGGGCGACGATGCGCGCGTAGGGATCGTTGTCGAACATGCCCGGGTAGTAGTCCGGGATGACGTCGGACTTGATGTCCGGGTCGACGAAGCCGCGGAAGGTCAGCGCGATGTCCTGGCGTTCGCGCGGGTAGTAGTCCGGGTGTGGGGGCACGTCCTGCGCGATCTCCATGCGCGTGAAGCCGCCGGTCGGGGTCGGGATGTTGTTGATGTAGGTGGTGTCCCGCGGTTTGTTACTGGTCTTGTGGGAGGTGTGGGTGGTGGTTGTCACGGTGGCCATGTTGGTACGCGTGGGAGTGGGAGTGGTAGGGGTGCTGGGCTTGCAGGCGCGGGCGGCGGCGGTGGCGGTGGCGGTGGCCTGCTCCTGCTGCTGCTTCGCATTCGACACGATGGTGTTGATGTTCGAGATGATGGTCTGCACGTTGGCGTTGGCGGCGGGTCGGGGGAGGTTGGATGGCTTGGCCGTGATGCTGGTGGGAGTGCTGATGGTGGGCTTGCCGGTGGTGGTTGGAGTACTCGGGGCTTTGGTGGCGGGTTTGACGCCGGCACTGGCACTGGCACTGGCACTGGCTGACGATACGGTCGCCTGTTTGTTCGAGACATGGGTGGTGCTCTTGATGCTGGAGCCGGACGACGCGGTCGCCTGTTTGGCACTCTTGGTGCTCTTGGTACTCAGGTTCGAGATACTCTTTTTCGACAAGCTGGCAACACTCTTCTTGGACAAGCTCGGAACAACCCTCTTCTTCGACAGGCTCGACGTGCTCTTCTTCGACATGAACCCCTTCACATCCTCGCGATACTCAAAGTCCAGGACCTTGGCCGCCTTGCCCAGATTCTGCTTCTGTCGGGACTCTGTCTTGGACCTGCGCCGGGGCCCGTCCTTATTCATCCAGTGGTGGTACTTCTTGGTCGCCCACTGGGAGCCGTAGTGGCGCGCGATCGGGCTGTCCTCGTCGACCTCCTCGTGATCATACTGATCCAGATCCAGAATGTAGTGGTAGTTCTTGGGGGTGCTAGGCTTAGAAGCGATCAGCTTTGCGGTCTCGGTCCGGATGACTTCCTCCCAGGGTGTCGACGGGTCGGCGCGCTCGATAGCGCGGATGAAGTGGCGGTCCAACGCGGTGCGCATGCCCTCGGGAACCTCTCGGGGATCGCTGTATGTGATGGCCGGAGACTTTTGGGCCGACAGCTCCTCCGCTGCTGCAGGCTCGGTGGTGTTCTGGCTGCCGGGGGTACGCGGGCTCTTTTCATCCGCGGTCGGGCGGTCATGATGGTCATTCTTGACCTCGGTGCCGGTCTGGCTGGGCGGATTGACCTTCTGGAGATTGAGTGGATGGGGCCTGTGCTTCTGAATAGGTTTGTGCTCCAGCTCGTTGCGAGGCTTGAGCTGAGCCTTGGTTTTCAACTCTGGCAAGGGCTCAATCGGCGCCGCTGCCTCGGCTTTTGCTTTGGTGTTGCTGGGCTTACGCGGACGCACGTAGCCCCAAACCTCCTTCAGATCGGGGACTCTCATCGTCGCAGCAATCGCAGGGTCTAAGTTGGGGTAGTCGGCGAAATTCACGGACTTCTTCGAACGAGTAGTGGAGGTGGACTGAGCGGTGGTGGTGCTGGAGGGTGAGGTTTCTTGCTGAGTAGGGGAGGGAATATCAGATTGATCTCTGCTGGGTGTCAACACCTCCCACTGCGTAACACGGTTCTCAGAAGCGGATTTTGGGGGATGAGGAGTGGTGGTAGACTGAACAGTAGTGGAGGGTGAGGTTGTGTCCTGAGCAGGAGAGGGAATATCAGGTTGATACTTGTCAGATTTCAACACCTCGCCCAGTTCAACACGGCTCTCAGACGCAGATTCCTTCGGACAAGGAGTGTTGGCAGACTGAACAGTGGTTTTAGAAAGTGAGGTTTCGTTCTGGACAGGTGAGGGCAGCTCAGCCTGGTCTTTGTCAGGTGTCGACACCACAGACCGTTCAACACGGCCCTCAGCAGCGCATTCACTGTTCTTCCTGGAGCCAACAAGCGGGTCCGCTGCGGAATCCTGCGGAATTTCACTTCTACCCTGCGGCGGAACTTTCTCAGCTGCTGGGGTGGTGGGTGTTGTTGTAGCTGAGGGGCTAGTAGTCGTCGTCTGTCTGCTGTTCGCACGCTCCAGGCTATCCAACACATTGGTGAGCTTCAGCTCCAGCATGCCCTTCCCGCTCAGACGCGATCTCTGCCTGACAGACCCTCGCTTCTGAGTGCTGCCAAAACTGCTCTTGACATCCTCCGGGCCCTGCAGCCTCGTACAAGTCTCTCCCAGTATGGGGTTGTGGGGTCCAGCGGCCTTGAGGCTTTGAATCCCCTGCGCCAGTTTCGAAACCTCTTCGCGGACCAGAGCAGTAAGCCTGCCCTCCATACTGTGCATATCCTGCCGGACCGCCGCCACCTGGGACCGAATATCCTTCATCATGCGCTGGGTCTGGTTCAGCATCTCCTCCTGGGCAATGGTCTTGGCGTTGATCAGCCGCGCGATGTCCGACATCTCGTCGACCTGCTTCATGATCCGATCCAGGTGCCAGTTCTTGCTGTCCTCGAAGGACTTGCTCAGTCGGCTGGCCGTCTTGTCCACGTGGTAGTGCAGCTTCGTGATGTGCGTGGTGAGCTTGCACTCCAGCGACGCCGTGTTCTGATACTGGGGGTCTGGCGGCGCAGGCGCATACCCACCGCGGCTGGGCGTCGGCATCTTACCGCTGTACTCATGGGATGCAGGTCCTGCTACTCCATGGACTCCATGGGGGTTATAGCTCGTCTGGATCGAGGACGGGTACGCGGTGGGGGCTTTGTCCGGCGCTCGCATCGAGGGGTCCTCCACGAGTGTCGCATACGGGTTCAGCACGCTGTATCGTGTGTGCACTGGGCGACGTTCATTATCCTCTGGCTCGATAAACCCTGGCGGTGGGAGATGGAGGTCTCGAATATCCAAGTTGAAGACCGACGACGCGGGCCGTGAGGCGTATACGGACGGCGAGTACGTCTGCCCTGGGTTCAGAATCGTCGGACACTGGTAGCCCTGCAACTCCTTGAGGAGCGATGCCTTATACTCCGGGTTGATGGCGTGGGCTTGTTGCTGGGCATGATTCTCCGTCTCCGGTGTCGACTCGATGTTACGGCGGATGCTGGGCACTCTCTGAGATCCGTCGACCACAAGCGGCTTGTATCCCGGCTTTGGGGAGTGATGTGGAGGTTGCAGAGCTGCCGTTGATGCAGTACTGTCATTGGACTCGATGCCCTTTGAGCTGTCGATAGCGAAGGGCTTGTCCTCGGGCTTGGTGCTCGCAGTCTTGTCGGTGTTACGCTGTGGGATTTCTTTCGATCCATCGGCGACGAGTGATGTGTTTTCGGTGGACTTGTTGGGCTCGGGTTTCTTAACGGTGGATGTTGGTCCCTTGACGGTCGACGTGGACGAGTTGGAAGAGTGAGCGGACCCAGATCTCGATCGACCGATGACAAGTGGTGTATACTCCGTCGAGTTTCCGGGCTCCTGCTCATCCGTATCGAGCAAGCCAGATTGGTGAGCAGACCCATCCGTCACCCTATTTATGACGAGAGTCTTATACTGCGCAACATTACCGGTCCTGTGATGCAGTCTCGGCGGCATCTGCACACGGGGCTGCTCGCTCGCTTTGTCAATCACGGGGAGGACCTCAGACTTTCGAGCACCGTCGCCGGCAGGCTTGTCCTTCGCAGATTCACCCACTGCCGTGCTGCTGCTATTCCCCATACACCCCCCATCCGACTGCGGCAGCGTCTTCGTGGCGTCATCCTCCGGGGACGGGCCGACCCAGGTGCAAGGCTTATAGTTCTTCGGGTACTTGGGCGGCCGCCAGACGGTGGCTTCGGGATACTTGGGATTGACGGGGATGGGTTTCTTCTTGGGCTCTGACACCCAGATCCCGTGTTTCTTGAGCAGACCCTTTTCGATGTCCTTGCGCCAGCCCGGGTCGACCGCGTCCAGGTAGTCCTCGGCGCGGATCCAGAGCGAGGTATCAGCGGGCGGCTTGTGACCCAGCAGGGGCAGGTCCTTGAACGAGAGCTTGGACCGCAGGGCCTGCAGGAAGCTCGGCTTCTCGTCCGGTTCCCAGTAGCTGTGCTCGGGGCCGGGGTCTCCACCATCCTTGGGGCGTTTCTCCCGCTTGAACCGGCGGATGGGGTCGGTGAACGACCGTTTCGCCGTCGGCTTGGGGATGATGATTATGTCGGGCTCGGTGAAGGAGCGTTTCGTCTTGACCTCGACGTCGGTGGAGGAGCGTTTGTTCGCCTTGGGCGTTGTTGCTACCTCCGGTTGCGTGAAGGACCGTTTCGGCTGGGGTCGCGCTGCTACCTCCGCATACGTCCGCTTCACCTTTGGTGAGTTGTCAGACTCGTCATATGCCACACTATACACCGAAGTATTGGGAGTCTCTTCGGAGATGCGAACCCGTCGTCTGGGCCTCGGCATGAGAGCAGCTTCCAGAATAGGATCATAACTCCTTCTGACAGAGCTGCTGGGGTTCCTAGACGACACCAGAGACGAGGGATGAGTGAAAGTAGTGGTGGTGGAAGTGGTTTCTATGCCGTCGGTCGGCTGTCAGTTTGTGCATCATGCAGCAACAAGAGAACAAACATACCGTTTGTTGAGAAGCGAGTATCGGGTCTTTGCGTCTTGTTCTCTTTCTGCAGTTGCTGCTGCACCTGCTGCAGGCGTTCTTGTTCACGGGCAGCTTTGATCGCCCAAGCGTTGCCATCCAGAGGCGCCATGGTCAGCGATCGCTGTGCTTAAGGCTTAGATGGACAAGACACTACAAAGGCTGTTAGCCTATCATCAAGCAGTTCTCTTTACTGCTGTGCTTGATGCAACAGACAGAATAATGAACTTACGTGGGTTTGCACAAGAACACGTCTTTCTCACAACAGGGTAACGACGTTCTATTCCGCTACCTGTTTCACGCAACAGTATCACGAGGTTTCTGTTTTGCAGTTGACACAGAGAGCTGCTTTCCAGAGCCTAGGGACAACGATCGATCATGTTAGCATCAAATCTCAGTATTGGCGCGCAAGATGAAACACAAGAGGTGAAGATCACAAACCTTCCTCTGCTATATCAAGCAGAAGTTGATCCCGGAAGCGATGGATAGATTTGTGGAGGATTACTGTCTACTACAAGAAACACCACAGTCAATCAGTCTGTGTACAAGGGACCCTTCGATATCGAAACACCACAGTCAGAGATTTAGTGTTCAAAACACCTTTCAATATTGAAATCGATACTCTTCAGTGGTTCACCTTTCCTCATCTCCATCTCACAAAGGACAGTAATAGAAAGAACAGCGATCACAGTTTTACCTTTCATATGAGGAAAGTGAGGTTATGTGGATGGGGGTGGGGATAAGAACATAGGTGTGGATGGTTGTTCAGAATAACAAGTTGTTCGAACAAGAGTCAGAAGAAGAAAAGGCTTTCGAAAGAGAAGATAGAAAGAGGAGGGGGGGCGAGAAGGTAATCGAAAGCCACAAGAGTCAAGACTGAGACTGAGTGAATGGATAACACAGAGTGGAGAGAGGAAACCGGACAACGCGTGTGTGGTTGACCAGGGCTGCTGTGAATAGCTTCGCAGTACTGCTCAACTTTTACTTTTTCTACAGAGAATCTTATAATGATCTCCCTCTGGGTGGCTGATCGCGTCTGTGGGTGGTATTTACAGCTTCATTTCTTCTACATCATAGGATTGACAGGGTAACGTAGGATATCAGGGCTTGTTAATACTGGAGCAAGCCGGTTGGTAAGTTCAGGAACATGCTATCTTGTCTATCTGAGGTAATCAAGAGTGTAGGTGAGAGCATCGATGGTAAAGAGAAGCCAGAAACTTATTCTCTGATCTAAAGGAAAATCAGCATAAGGTTAACAAAGTTGCTGCAAGATATCAAATAACGAAAGCATTTCTTACCTACAAGCGAAAACAAAAAGAATATCACATTCTTCCCAGTCTAGCAACCATTATGCCAACTGAAAATCCACTCCCACAGTCAGTCTCCCCAGTACAGATAGATAGGGAGCAAGTAGCCTGCCCAAGCACCATAATGCCTCCCCAGTATCAAAACTGTCAACCTTTCAGGGAAGAAATACGCCCTCAGGAAACCAATGACTTCCCCTCGTGCCCCAAACATCGACAACAGTCAATACCTCGTCTAGGATCCTACGCAATAGTCGCCAATAAAAGAAGCCCTATCGAGAGCATCCTATGGCTAGAAAAGGGCATCACAACGTCGCGCTGCCCGCGTGCAGGAATTGCCTTTGATTTCTTAAGGCGCCGCTGGCGCCTGGTCTTTCGAGAACACCAGCCCATTAGCAAGGACGACTCTGAAGTAGTGGGGCAGTTTTGAGGGAAAGCCAGAGAGGCAACAAGTGTACTTACGGACGTCGGTGGATGGGTTTTTTGGATGCCATACTTGTAAACTCGGATCAAAGATACCACTATCGGAAGCATCATGCTCATCATCTAAGAAAATCACTACCTCAACAGATGAAAGCCTGCGAGGGAATGATGTGTTCACTCTATCTTCCAACCCCACTTCTACGAAGAGAAAAAGT